TCTGTAATGGAATACATTTTAAAAGTAACCTTCCCAACACTGTCTACAGACATTACAGGGGAGAGAAACTGGGATAGTGGGCCTGAGAGGCCCCAAATCATTCTTATTCAATTGTTCAACAACATCAGTTGAGGGGTATTTATATGTGAAAGATACAAAAGCAAAAATCCTGCAAAAAAAGCTGCAAAAAGTAAGTTACATAATCAGAGATAGAAATCTCACTGTGTGTGATTCACGGCACCTCCGGCTATTGTGCAGCTGCTTTCTTTGAAACTGAGGTGGAAGCCTGTAATCCATGTGTAGCCTAAAAACAAACTAATCTGGGTGCACTGTTTTTTTTTCCCTGCAACATAACACTTGCTGGTTTTAGAGTATTGTGCTTTTCCACATTTACTGCAGTGAAGTAGGAGGTAGAACGGGCTTGATGCCATGTTCAGGCCATACAGCAGAGATAAGACTTCATGATTTATGGGTCAGTTGAAAGCAGAAGGCCTGAATGTAACAAACAGCATGGAGGTAATTTAAGTGATGACTATGAAGAAGGTCAGACTGACCTGCCTCCCCTCAGCCAGAGCAGAAACTCAGCTAATGGGCAGCTAATCTCTGAGGGAAGAGGGAAGCACATACCAGTCTGTTGAATGAAACAACTTTCACCTGCATCCAGACTTTGAGATACCGTTCAGGATCACCAGTTTGTTGATTTAAGTCCACTGTAAACCAAACTATGATTTGAGGGACCGTATTTGTTTGGAATCAAACGCTCTTTTCAGGACAGATTTTTTATCCTGAGGTGAGAAAAACAGAGTTACCAGGATAAAAGACCTAACCTGCATGCATTTTTCTCTAACTCCTCCCCTTTTGTTGCACCTGAAGACTCTTCTTTCATTTTTTCATTCATAAAGTTGATGTTAAAGCTCATATGTCATTAATTGTGTCTGTGCAAACACTGAGTTAGCAGTAACCTTTATTATACAGTTTCTCCTCTGTAAGATCTGCCATGCATCAACTAAAGGCTCTCATGTAAATAGAGAAAACCTACAGTAGAGGCTCCAATGCATATTCCCAAAGACTGACTAATACCTGGGTGGTGGGATTATGGTGTGTTTATACATCCAGGGGCTCCAATGTAGATTGAAGGCAGCTGTGAAAAGCCAGAGTGGGGAGAGGAGGCAGCGAGGGGAGCAAACAGGAGCGAGTGTTAAAAACTCAGAGCTGTGTGTAATTTTCACGCGTTGTTTATACAGTTAATGTTCCAAGAACATCTGCACGGCTGACACGATCACATCGTTGTGATGTAATTTATATTTAACAGCCGTGGCAGCTTCTATATAAAGCTCAGGGCAGATTTCCTGGCTTCAAATAAATCATTTTGGGTTCACAAGTCCTTAAAATGGTTTGTTTTCATAGTCAAGATTAGTAAAAATGTATCCATGTGTACATCGCTGTGCATGTGTCTATGAAAAACAGAAAATCCTTAGTAGATGTTAAGAAACCAGGAACTTTTCCATTATTATTCCATTATAATCTATAATCTTACATCTATTACCTGCCTTTGTGTAGCATGGATACTCATGTGTGTAGCCTTTATCAGTAAACGTAAAGCTATAAAACTTATGAAAATACAGTTAAAAGTCCAAAATTGACACCTTCGGGCTGGTTGTGGCTGAGGACATAGAGCAGGTCATCCGATGGTTCGATCGCTGGTATCCAAGTATCTTGGACAAGAGACTGAAGCTGATGTTTGAGCAGAGAATAATTGTGTGTTGATGTTAGATTGAAAGGACTTGGGTATAGAAAAAGTTCTTGTAGGTGAATAAGTCGGTGAATGAGGCGTGCTGCGGTCCTTTTACTATTCCTTCACATTTTTGAATGCTGTGCAGTGGATTGGAGAGTCTGCTAGTCCGATTTTGGTCCCTGGGCCTTATGTTTGACACCTCTTTCACCTCTCTTAACTATTTTCACAAACCTGTTACCAAGCCCAGCTTCACACAGCCTCGTCAAGCATCAAAGACATGAAGTTACACAATGACCCAGTGTGCACCTCAGCCTGCGGTGCAGCCCATTGTTCAGCAGACGTGGCTACGTGCACGCACTGCAACTCAGTCTCTCATTCCCATTTCAATCGAGTGTTCGAAAAATCGAGTTACGATCTTACGATCTGGATTATGTCCTTTCGCACCGCTGTGAATGTTGGATTGGCGTGTACGGGGTTTCTGCTGCGTTGCGGTTGCAGAGCCTCTGATGATCCTCGCTCCTGCGGACTCGCAGCTCTTTGTAGAGCTTCCAAGCACATTTCCTTTTGATGTTCTGTTTGTTTTGTCTGGAAATTGTCTCGCTGTGGTATTGTGATCATAAAAACAAAATTTTGGCTGCGTGTTGTGCGTCTGTGCGCAGTGTAATGTAAGGGCGTGCTCTCACGACAAAGCGCCCGTTCATTTTTCAGAAAAAAGCTCAATCTTTGGCTCACCTTTTCTTCTGATTCATAGAAGATGGCTTTATTACAGAGAAGAGCTGCAACACATGCACCAACGTGTAGGTTTTTACAGCAGATGCTCACATGCATACATTAGGGTCACAGCGTGAGCTCCTTTATTTCTTGGTGCTTCAAGTTCTGACTTGCACGAAATCTTCTGTTAAACCTGTGCTGGTTTGGTTTTGCCAGGAATGCAGCACCTGTGCCGTCTGAATGTCACCGCGATAATGAATGTTTTTAGTTTGCAGATCAGAGGAAAGAAACGTATAAGAGGCAAAAGAAAACTACGTGCAGTCAACTGTGTCACTTGATTTCCAGCTACGTGGACTTAACATTCGCGATTTTGGACTTTTTAATCCAATACATTTATTTTACAGCTCTAGATGTATCCTATACACTCAGTTTTATATGCAATACATGTGTGGTGTGTATGGTATGTTAAGGATTGTTTACTATTACTTCACAGCACTTCAAAGACACAAATTACATGAAAGATTTTCCTTATAATTTCTGCATTCTTTGTCTTTCCTAATCTTCATATCACATATTATGACTTGTCACTGCAGGCAAACACAGGTGCATTACATTAACTTTAATTTAAACCTGTAATCACTGATTCAGATACTTTAGGGGAGAAAGAAGTCATGTTTGCAAATGTAAAGGCTCTAATGTGATCAGTGTGTGTCTATATATCTATTTTTTATATATCTATATATCTATATATAGAGATAGAGATCTCTAGATCTAGATAGAGATATATATGTGTGTGTGTGTGTGTGTGTGTGTGTGTGTGTGTGTGTGTGTGTGTGTGTATACACACACACACACACACACACACACACACACACATATATGTAT